TTGGGATCTAACCCACCATGCCTTACTTCCAACCACAGAACAGTCCCTCCTGTAGTCCCTGCCCTGAATCCAACCCCTTCCCAGGCCTCAGGGACTGCCTCTTCCAGGAAGTCTTCCCAGAACTCAGGGAGCCTCCACGCAGTGGGACTCTCCTCTACTACATTCAGAGGGCAGATTGAGCCCCTAAAACCCACAGTGCCCCCACCCTCAGACTCGGGCTCCTGGGAGTGGAGGCTCTATCCCCCCTCAGATGGGGATTCCCTGAAGTCAGGGCTGTGTCCCCCTCAGACAAGCATCCTGATGGCATGGTTAGCGCGCCCCCCCCCACTCCCCTAAGACCAGGGCTCCCTGAGGACAGGGTCATCATGCTCTCCTTCCTTCAGACTAGAAAGTCATGGGGGCAAGACTCTTACCCCCTCCTCCTGCCCCTCCACCCTCACAGCCCCCCAACCTGGGGTACAAGACTCTGCCCCCAGACCACAAAAACAGGACCCCAGACCGTGCCCAGCCCCCTCCTCTCCTCCTGGAGGTCCTCCAGGCCTAGTCCGTACCAGGCAGGCTACCCTGCCCCCCAGGCCTGGCCATGAATCCCACCTCTGTTGGGCACCACAGACCCCCCTTTCTCCTCCCCAAACAAATGGGGTCTTGAGCGAGACACTGGAACAACCACGCACAACGCCAGATCTATTCCCTGGCCTCGCGTGGCTGCCAGCAGTGGGGGGGGCAGGGGGTGGGGAGGCATCCAGGCTGGGGAAAGCAGTCTATTCATCCCACAGCCCCTCGAGGTCCAGCCTCTAAAATTGGGGCCCCTCTGAACTCCATCCTGGGACCCACAGCCCGCTCTCTGGGTAACCCCAGAGCACACCCATCCCAGGAGCCTCTCTGTTCCCTCCTCTCCCCGGTCACACGCAGGCAGAGCCTCTGAGCCTAGGTCCAATCCCTGCTCTGTTCTCTACACAGGATTTCCCCAAACCTGAGCATGGCATCTGTCAAATGGCTTTAATAACCCCTACTCTGCAGGGGCCGCTGTGACTGTGAGGGGTTAAGGACGGGAATGTCCCTAGCACATAGTGGACACTGTTACAATCAGTTTCCTTCTCCTCTTTGATCTCTCTTTCTCTCTTGGGGGGGATGGAGGGGGCTAGCAGGGCAGAAAATGGCTTGTCCCAAGCACTTAAAATGTCCCCTATTCAGAAGTCAAAATCTCAGATCCCTCGGGCGTGGGCAGTGGGGCCTTCCAGGACTGGGGTGATTCAGCAAAGGCTGTTTTTCCACCTTGGGGAGGCGGGGGAGGGTGGGAGGGACTTGGAGCCAAGCCGGCAAATCAGAGCTCGAAGTCCACTGCCTCCCAGAAGCCCGCCAAGATTATTAAGCCAGCCAAGACATTACCCCCACTTTGCTGACAAGTACACTGAGACACAGAGTGGTTAAGTAATTTACCTAAGGTCACACAGCTAGTGAACTGATTTGACAGTTCAGGCTGCTACCAGAAGCTCTTCCTTATGGCAGGAACCTTTCCTACTGAAGAGGTGTTCTGTGGTTTTGTCTGTGTTCAAAAGACAGTCCAAACTCCAGCCTGAAAGGCCAGGCTTCCAGCTGGGTGGTGTCGTGTAGCAGAAAAAAACGGTTGACCTGGAGCCAGGCCAACCTGGGATCAAATGCTAGCCCTGCCACCTACTCCCAGCTGTGTGTCCGCAGGCAATTTACAACTCTCCCGTGCCCCGCATTCCTCATGTATAGAATGGGATGCATTCGCTAAATACATATTTATTGAACATCTACTATGTGCCGGGCCCCATTCAAGGCACTTGGGATCGAGTAGGGAACAAGACAGAAAAAACTCCTTCCCTCGTGGAGCTGAAAACCTACCACGGTGGGTGGGTGCGTAACAAGCAAATAAACAAAATAGTATCTGGTTGTGTCAGGGACTAAAGGAAAACAGAAGAAGGCCCAGATCAAGCAGAGTGGTCAGGGAGGACCTCCTGGAGGAGGCGATAATGAACCGAAACAGAAGACAGCCAGGCAACGGCGCCCTGGAAGCAGCAATGAGCAAAGAAGGAACGGCAACTCCTGCAAAAGGAACAGCCAGTGTAAAGGCTGGAAAATTAGAGGAGACCCAGAGCACGTAGGAAAACGCCTGGCACACAGCAGATGCCCCAATAATGAGCAGCTATTGGTATGATTGCTCTAAGACCTCAAGCTCCTTGCACCTGGCTTTCTTCTTCTGGAAAATTGGATACTGTGCAGGTTCAAGGGACGCCTGGGTCCCTTCCGCAAATACGAATGCATTTAAAGTCACGCTCGCTCCATTGCTTTTCCTCCCATTCTGCAGGAGGGGAAACTGACCCTCCCAACACCCCACAGACCGGAAATGGCAACATGAATATGTGAACCTGAGTCCTATAATCCCAAACCCTGTGCCCCTGCCGGCCTTCTGTGGTCTCACTGGACACAGAGCACTCACTGCGTCTCCCCATCCCACCCCAAGACGGCGTTCACTGCTAAACGATTCTTCTGGGATGAACTGAGGTCTGTGCCTGGTTGGTCCACCTCTGCCCTTTGGGGCCGCTCAGGACAGCCCTCTCCCCTCTTCGCTATCTCAGCCTGAAATGTGAAGCAGTCTGGTGGGTTAGAAAGAACAGCCATGGCCCAGGAAGCACCTCCCAGGCCCCAGGCCCTGTGCACTAACTTCATTCCCTGCCTGAAGTTAAGTAGGCAGTCTTATCATCCCCATTGTACAGATGAAGAAACTGAGGCCAGGAATGGCAAAGAAATGTGCCCATGGCTACCCACCTAGAAAGTAGCAGAGTCAGGATTGGAACCAGATCTTTGTCACTCAAAAGACAGCCATCCATCACTCCCCGAGGCCCTCAAATGGCCCTCTTTGGGCATCCTTTCCGTCCTTGCCGGGCCTGGGCCCTGGTGGTGTCAAGGAGGCTGAAGGGACTGACTTTCCCTGAATCTGTTACTCCCAAGGCACCACCACCCTGTGTGCTGTGAAGAAAGCCAGCGGGAGGGGGCTCAGGCATGAGCAAGGGGACAAGGCCCACTGGGTTAAAGCGCACACACAGGGGCCCGGAGCAAGCAGGGGGGAACATGGGACAGAATCTAGTCACACCTGGGCCCATCCTGGCCCCGCCACCAAGGTGCGGCGTGACCATCAGAGGCCCCCCTCTCCTGCCCCGCTTCCTGCTACCACGAGGTCAGCCCAACACCTCACCCCTCCAGGGTCACAGGGAAAGGGCACACACACGAAGTTGGTCTCTGATGAGAAGGCACTGCTATCCCCACCCCCAGGGCATGTTAGAAAATCATTTCAAATTCCGTTTCAAAAGGAATGTTGATAGTGGCGTCACTTACTGAGAGTCTGTTCAGTGCAAGGAACCACACCAGGGGCATCACATACTTTATCCCAAGTGACAGCAACCTCAAGAGGCATGTACATCTCTCCATTTCACATATGGGGAAACTGAGGCACAGGATTTTACAGCTGTAAGTGCTAGAGCCAGATGACTCTGCATGGGAGGGTAGTGGAGGCTCCTGGGGGGAGATAAGGCCTGGTGAGCTGGACATCTGGGGAGGCAGGTGCCCCAGGGTCAAATCCCAGCCCACTGCGTGACCTCCGGCAAGTCGCCTTCCCTATGATATCTCAAAGGCAGGCACCAATGCCAGGCTCCCCAGAGCACAAGTGTAAAGGATGGGAAGGCAGTCCGCTGGGGGCAGGACGGAGTGTGCATCCAGATGGGGACTTGTACGTTCAAAGGCCCGGAGGAGGGAGGGCCCCAGGAGGCAGAGGGAGGAGAAGTTGGCCACAGAAGTGAGAGGAAAGGACAGACAGAGGGGACCTTGGGAGGAGGGACACTGGCGGTGCAACAGGGTCCAGTCTGGCCACATGACAGGCAGGATGAGCACTGGATGTGGGGATACAACTCAGACCACCCACTGTGCCCCACTTCAGCCCACGTCAGCCTGGGTCCCCCACACCACGGCACAGCAGCAGCCCCTCCCCTGCCACACCCCCACTGTCCTCCTGGAGCCCCCACCACCCCTCCCATCCCTGCACAAGCCCCTCCAGAGCCCCAGCCCCAGCCCTTCCCTGAGGACCTCAACACCTCAGCAGCCACAGCCCCCCACGTGGGGACCATCACAGCTTAGAGACGCATCTCCCTCTCCTTAGCAACCGCCAACACCCAGGCCAAACTGCAAGCCTCCTCCCCGGTCTCCTCCTCTCTCCATGGAGACCACAATGCCACAGAGGCGGGTCCCTCTCCACGTCACTCAGCAACCGAAAGGACAACAGCTCCCTCCACGTGGCCACCACCAACACAGCCTCAGTGACAGCGACAGCCTCAGCCTCTCCTCTCCGGGGCAGCCACCAGCCCCAGCCAGGACAGAAGGGCTCCTGCAGGCCTGCCCGCCGGCCCTGGCCCATTACTGGAAGCCTGCTCTCCCGGCCGCCTCAACACACAAGCCACTGGATCAGGCCAGATACTGATTCCACCCAGCGATTCCCCTGCTCCCAACTCGCTCCCAGCCCCTCAGGCTGCCCTTCTCTACAACGGAAAGGCCCCACCTGAGGGAGAAGAGGCCCTGTTCTCCCAGGCTGGCCCAGGAAGCCAGCGGCTCACCCCCACCAGGTGCACAGATGCCCCAGCCGGCTGGGCTGCAGGCAGGCCTGCTCAGCGTCTCAGCTGGGAGAAGAGGCAGGAGTGGGGTGTCTGAGCCAGCAGCCAGCAGCGGCTTCCTCCCCAGCCTCCCAGTGGACCAGTCCCAGCCCCCAGCAGGCCTGCCACTCTACCAGCTGCCTCGTGGGCCCTGTGGAAGGGAAGCTGAGGAGGGGCGGGTTGGGGTGCCCGCAGCTGGGGGCAGGGCTGGGCAAGGCAGGAAGGGACACACAGTGGGCAGAGGCTGGCCCACATCACGGGTTGGCAAGGCCGGGTCATGTGAGCTGGGCTCACCTCCATCCACACTCACACGCTCGGGAAGGACCTTGTCCTTACCAGCGGTCTGCGGGCAGGGGGGGCCCTGCGGCCAGCAAGGCACTGTTCCTGGCCTGGTCTCAGGGCGGTCCCCACAGCAGTGGTGGCAGCAGTGGCAGCAGCGGTGGCAGTGGGTCTCCGGTCCGGGCCCAGCTCAGGCGGCAGCAGCTCCTCACCCAAGTCCTCTCCTGTGGAGGCGAAGGGAGAGGGAGGAGGGAGGGAGAGGAGAGGCGGGGAGAAGGAGAGGGAGGGGACAGCAGGAGGGAGGGAGGGAGGAGGGAAAAATGCTGAAGTCTTGAAGGGTACACTCACTTCTTTCTTAGGTTTCCCATGGCAACCGAATATACCACAAATGAATATCAGTGTGAGAGAGAAGGAGGAGAAAGAGGGAGGGAATGGAGGGAGATGGAGGCAGAGATGGAGAGAGATCGAGGCAGGAGATGAGGAGATGGGGGCAGGGAGATGGAGAAGAATGATGGGGCAAGAGAGATGGAGGGGAAGGGCCTCTAGGCCCACATGGAGAGCTGGGGGCTCCCCACCGACCCCATTGGACTCAGAGGGAGGGGAGGGGCCAGAGGCCACGGGAGTCCCTCTTGGGCAGGAGGAGGAAGCAACAGATGGATAGATGTTCTGACAGCCACAGGGCCCTCACACACCGCTCCACCCCATGTCCTTCACTGCCTGCTGGGCCCCAAGTCATAACCCCAGCCCCAACCTCACTCAGTCATGGACACACACCCAGGTGGGAATGGCCACCCACACTGCCCTGACGCCCACACACATAGCCTTCCCCTTCTCGTGCCCAACCACGCCACCCTTCTGCTGGTCACCCCACCAGCAACACGGCCCACTCCCCTCCGCTACAGGGAACAAGCACCCTCTCCCAGGCACATCTCTGATTCAGAACTCTGCAAGGCCCTGCACCCCCTCCCTGCGTGCCCACAGCCTGTGCCCCACTTCCCACCATATGTGCTCACACACCCTAAGAGCAATATACCTGCTCGACCTCCACCTGCATGGGCTCACTCCCAGACAGACATGCCTGGCGGGACCTTCCCTCCATCTGTGCACGCACATGCACACCACTCACTCACCCCCTTCCCTTGGAGGCCCCCCTCTCGGTCTGGCCCTGCACCCCCACCAGCCCAGATGGTCCTCCTGGTCCTCCCCATCAGGCAGACGCTCACACCTGGGCCCCCTGACTTAGCCATTCCCAAACAAATGGAGGCCCACCGGAGCTGGCAGCCAGCAGCAACAGCACAGAAACACAGGCCCCCTGCGCCGTCTCAACTCCGTCACAACTACCCAGAGGCGGGGAAAAAAAGCAGCAGGCTTGCTCGGGAAAGAGCTCCCAGGCCCAGGAGGGTCACTGCTCCCCCACCCGCCCCAGCTGCAAGGCTCACACTTGACCCTGAGCCCAGTGGCCAGCAGGGACAGGACAGCACCCCAAGTCGCACACATACCCTCACACACAACCTGCACCCACAGGACACCACACTTTCACACTCCCTCAGACACACGTGGGCACACAGCCCCCGATTCACTGTACACAGCTGCCCGCAGAGGGGGCCCACCTCACCACACAGGCCCACACAGGTGCGCCTACATGCCTGGAACATGCACAGACACACGGTAACACACGGAAACACAGTGGACCACCCCACACACACAGCTTTCACCATAGACACCCACACAAACCTGCCCGTGGGCACAGGGGTCCCCTACACAGCTCAGGGGTCAACACATCCAGGCCCCAAACATGCCCCCTCACATGGTGACCTACTCCCCGCCCTCCAGCACGCACGTGGCCACACCTGCACACCCGCACAGTCCTCCCCGGTCAGTTCCAGCGGCGTCCCCCCCCCCCCATCCCGTCCACACCCACCTGACACACACATCCCCGCCAGCCACTCCGCGGGCCCTCGCCGCG